TCCAAATGTGTGGGCTTACTTTTACCTAAAAGAACACGTGCACCTGATTACATGTATATGAATGTCTGCATAATCATAGGTGTGTGTGTGTGTCTTATTCACACGTGTCTGAGCATGCAATGAGCATGCACTCTAGTGTATGTCTGTGCATGCATGTAAAGAGGCTATGTGTGTTGGTTAGTTTGAGTGGCCTGTGTGGATAAAATGAGAGTTCCTGTGGGCAGGATTCTCACCTGGCCCTGGTTGACTGGCTCACTGCACACCTGTGGGCACTACATGGCTGTTGACTCTATAAAAAGAGCTCCGCCCAGTGCTCTGCACATGACACGGTGGCAGGGCTGCAAGGCTGCAGGAGAGCAGAGCAGAGGCTGGAGTGGTGGCAGTGCCAAGGACAGAGGCCCAGAGGATGGTTGTGTGGGACGGCTGTGCAGAGAGGCTGGCTGTGCAGATAGAGGGGCCCAGAGGCAGAGACCGGCTTGCTGCATGGAGACTCACTCTGAGTGAACAGGATTTTAGTGACTGACCTGCCACCTGGAAATAAACTTGGGGATAACACTTTCATGCAAAGAAAGTTTTGCTGTCTATTTCTTTGGTCACATTGAATCCATAGCAAACTTGCGCGGGGCTGAAACCCATTGGCAAGACACCTGCTTTGCTGATTCCCTCCCACCCTACCTACCCCTGGGAGGACCTCTGCTCTCTATATTCAGGAGCCTCCCCACCTCTGGATGTCATGGAGAGTCAAGTTCTCCCTCTGGAGGAGCCACCTTGACTCACCTCTCAGGATACACCCGGGCTATGCCCGGGACAGTGAACTTCACTGTTTTCTCCACAAGGAAATGAGAAAGAATAAAAGCCTAACCCCAAAGCAAATACTCAACAACAGAGTACTTGCTCACGTAATACTCACATACATGAGCAACAAGACAGCAGGGTTAACAGGCCAGTTGAGCCTTGCCTCTCACCCTTAAGAGTTTATGTCTGCACAGCACGCAGAGCTCCTGCCAGCCTCACTGCTTCCGGCTCCGTAGCCGGGACTGTCCCTGCATGTGCCCTGCACCTGCTGCAGCCCAGCTGTCTTCAATCTATTTCGTTTCCAAGTCTCAGCCCCACTAGATCTGGCCGGTCCACCATTTTGGTTCAATGATACTCATTTCAAGGCAAGTCACAAACATAAAACAAAAATTAAAAAATTCTTAAAACCAAAGCAAGTTTTGAGAACGTGTAGGTCTAAGACTGAGGGGTGCCTGCAGGGGCTTTGCTGAGAGTGTTTTCCAGAGCAACAGCTCTAAGGGGGCAGGGAAGGCAAGCAGATCCAGCTGAGAAGCATTTGCATCGGCGGCCTAGGTGCAGGGCAGTTCCGGGCCCGGATGGCCCTCAGAATTGTCCCCGGTGGAGAGCGGGGGCTGGGCCTTTGGAATTCCAAGCCATCACTTCATGGAGGGGGTGGTGCTGTGCTGAGGACAACCCGGCAGTGGTGCCCCCACCCAAGGTGGTTCCCAAGGAGGTGCTCAGTGGAGAGCTGTCAGCATCCATCCTTTCTGGCCGCTGGAGGGCTGGGATGGGGGCCTTGGCGCTGGGGAGAGTCTGAAAGGCCGTCTGAGGGCCACACCGATTTCCACTGCGGGAATTGTGTCAGGTCCTGTAGATGCAGAGAAGGAAGCCTCAGCCCTATTCGCAAAGGAATTCTAAGGATTTTAGGGATTTTCAGGCCTGTAACATGACCACAGGGCCAGCAGGGCAGCAGCAACGCAGCAGCCGGAGGAGCAACGCTGCCAGGGTGGTGTCTGGGCAGGGGAAGGCAATGGGGGCCCGGGAGTCACAGAAGAGAACATGCCTGAATTGTTTTTAATTGTGGTGAAATAGATATACCATAAATGTTTGCATCTTAACCATGTTTAAGTGTACAGTTCAGTAATAAGTACAGGCACCTTCACACTGCTGGGCACCCATCACCACCACCCAGATCCAGGACTCTTCCCATCTCGCTCCCATTAAACAACTTCCATGCCTGCCTCCTCCCATCCCCTGGCAGCCCCCAGTCTTTCTATTTATATGAATGTGACAACTCTAGCAAGTTTGTGTTTGCATTCAAGTGGTATGTTTAATGTGTTGATGTGAATGTGTAGGCTTCACACCTCATGTAAGTACCTCATATAAATGGCACCTTATGGTGTTTGTCTTTGGGGGGCTGGTTTATTTCACCCAGCATGAGGTCCACAAGGTGGATCCATGTTGAAACACATGTCAGAATCCTTTCTTTCTAAGGCTAAATTACATACCATTGTATGTACACTCCACATTTTGTTTCTCCATTCACCTGTCTGTGGACACTTGGATTGCTTCCATCTTTGGGCTATTGTGAATAATGCTGCTAGGGACATGGGTGTGCAAATACCCGTGTGAGTGCTTGCTTTCAATTCTTCTGTGTATATACCTGGAGGTGGAATTGTGGGATCCTACGGTCACCCTATGCTTAATATTTTGAGGAATTCCATCTTTCCTTAGCAGTATGTACCATTTCACATACCCACCTGTAGTATACAAGGTTTTCCATTTCTCCACATCCTTGCTAGCACTTTTATTTTGTTATAATTACTTTTTTAGAGTAGCCGTCCTAATGGGTGGGAAGTGCTGAGCTGGGATTTGAATATGGAAAGAAAGAAGCGAGGGGCCGTCAGAGCAGGTGTAACACGCACTGCCTTACGCACTTCCACCCTTGCTGGGGATCCCTTATGACAGTGAATGCAAGGGGGCGGAGGGAGCTCCAGCTTGCTGTGAAGTGGCAGGAATGCTGACCCCGGGGGGGAGAGGGGGTGAGAAAACAGGCAAGACCTGAGGATGGTTAATAGAGTTGGACGCTCTGTCTCTTTGGCCTCTTCTAAGGTCTTAGATATGCTTGGATTTTCATTCTTGGAAACGCAACCAGTAAGTGACAGGACTGGTCTCCTTTTCAGACCAGGAACACGGTCCTGTTCTGTCACTGCTGGCTTGACACCACCCAAAAGTACAGCTATAGCTATACCTACTGAGTCACACCCTAAAGGAAGTAAAAGGCCCAGACAGGCCACTGTCAGAACACGATGGTCGTACCCTGGGCGCCCAGAAGCAGAGGGTCAGGCCTCGCAGGGTGGAGAGCCCGGCACAGGATTTCAGAAGTCCTGAGGCCTATTTCCTGTGTTTCAGACCATGTAAGGAGCCAGAATTCAGGGTGAATGAGAACCACTGTCCGCCCTATATTGACTTGCAGTCTGGCCACATGAGCACAATGATGAACACACAGTTACTCACAACGCAATGAGTGCTGTTCAAAGGCAGAGAAGAGGTGCTCTGCGGGGCAGGGGAGAGGGACATGTTACAGCTGAGATGCTGTTTTTCCCGGAATCGTGTCTTGGACGGGATGAAGAAAGAAGCCAGCAGACAAGAGTAGGGAGCAACCGCGGAAGCTTTAAAGGAGTGAAAGAAAACGGTTTCTGCCAATCAGGAGGGGCTCCAAGGGAGGACGCCACCAGAGCTGCAGTGTCTAGGGTTCAGAAGCACAGAGGAATGTACATGATTGTCGGGGGTGGGGGTGGGGCCTTGTTGCTAGTGTGGAGCTGGATTCACAAAACAACTCCCTTGTCTTTCAGGCTGTGGTTTCAGGACATTTTCCAGATGTCCATGTTGTGGCTTCCTGTTTACTATAAAGCCTTGACCCTAGTCTCTCCTGACTGAAACCTATAAGGGCTTTGAACTCTATTAACCTGTGTCCTACTAACGCTTGCCTCAAAGAGGTGGAGCTTGGTGAGGGAGGAGGGCCTAAACATTACCATCAATTATAGCAGTGTCAGTCCTACCTGGGGGGTGGGACGGTGGGAGGGGGCTCAAGACTACTGCTGCAGTTAAAGGACGGTGAGGATGCTGTGCCCACCAGTTCAGAGTTCTCCTCTGAGGCCCTCCCAGACAGTCTCCTTCTTCTGGAGGCTCAATGTTTATTTGGACAAAGCCACTATTGTCCCAAAGTGCCCTTTGGAATAATGATGTCCCAGCAGGATTATAATGCAAGTCATGCGGATCATTTTAAGTTTCCTAGTAGCTACACTCAAAAAATTCAAAGCAGGTACCATTAAGCTTAATCATGCATTTTAACTGTTTAACCCCAAATATCCAAAGTATTATCATTTCAACATGTCAATATAAAAAGTATTCATGAGATATTTTATGTTCTTTCTTTCATATTAAGCCTGAAACACCCAGTGTGTGTTTTACATTTATATCCCATCTTGCTTCAGGTGCTGAATTTCTATTGGAAAAACCTCATTTACATTGAGATTTCATAACATTTACATTAAAAAAATAGACTGATATGCTCAAGTTGCTCCAAACATACTTAAAAGTTTTCCATAATGGTGTGTTAGTGGAAAAATATTTTACTGTTTTAGACTTAAATTTAAATTACTTAAAATGAATTAAAATTAAAGACCCAGGTTCTCACTCATACTAGCAATATTTCAAGCTCATAGTAACGACCACCTGTGGTTAGGAGCTGCTTCTCCAAGCACACAGCCCTGGAGCCTGGGGGATGCCTCTGCTTGTCCTCCATAGAACTCTTCTTAAATTGGTTTTAAATTCTTTAAAATCACCCTGGACTCACTGGAAGCCTCACCTTTTGGGGGCAGATTCTGAAGACCAATTGTCAGCCCCAAACAGTCAAAGCTGTAAAACATTTAGTTGTCTTTATTTGGTGTTTAAGGAATTGCAATCTGGAACCACAGGTTCAGAAAGAAACCCAAATGTATGTTCTGAGAAAATTAAGCTTTTAGGGCTTTTAAAGGCAAAAAATCGGAACTCCCAGGGGGCTTCGCTTCCGTGAGTTGTTTTGAAAGAATTCTGATTGGCCAAAGCTATTGTGACCGACCTTGAGTTACCCGTAAGTGGTTGCTAAACCTCCCCACCTGGCAAAAAGGCTACTTTGTTGTGGGCAGCAGATATTTGTCCAGGAAGTTCATCATTTAACAGGGTACAAAGTTTCACCTTCTTCAAGAACAGTCAGTTTCAGAGAGGAGGTCATGCATAGACCTTATTCCTTAATGTCCTTCCCCCTCCCCCATTCTGTTTTGGCTTACTCTCATTGTCCATGCTAACACCATTTTCTCCACATTTACACAGAAAAGTACTTAAGTTCAGGGCTAAGCCTGACTGCGTGGAAAAGGGGTTGTTACTCTGTGTGACTCCTGGCTGGACTTGTTTTGTGTTCATAAAACCCACTTGAGTAAACAAGTTCTAGTGTGTTTGAGTTCCAATTGCTTGCATTACTTCACAGTCACGCCTGACTCAGATTGCAAAATAGCTGGTGTGACCAGATGCACGGAAACCCTGGCATCTCATCATCACTCAGGAACTTGATGGTTCGAGAGACTGAAGGTGAGTGGGATCAAATCTTGTTAGGGATGTCACCCCCCACCAAGCCTGCACACTTCTCAGGATCTGGGTTCACAAACTGCTAAGGCAGGGCTGAAACATTTCAGCCCCAGGCAGCCGGAGTACCTGCTCTTTGGTCCCTGGTTTTATAGCATCCTCCCCCTGTGGCTCATCCTGAACTCGTTTGGAAAATGACCTGCAAGGAAAATAGTATCTTTATTGAACATTCTGATAATAACTTCAACAGATACACACACTGAACTACCCTGAAATATTTTTGGTCATCCAACCCAAAGAGTTCCCCTGTTAGCAGCTCACATACTCCACTATGAAGTTGTTCTGCCTTCAAGTTTATTGGGCAGCACCAGGATTGCACAGGTACAAGAACTGGTAAATGGCAACACCACCTCATACGCAGATGTGAGTATGGGCGCCTAGGTCTGAGTTTCCCTTCATTCCCCATCCCTCCCTGCTCTTCTGCTCGGTTCCTCTCCCCTTCTCTCCATCCTGTTCCCCTCTGCTTCCCCTTCTGCTATGGAAACCCGGAAAACCCGGACTGAATCGCTGACGGAAGAACCAGGTGGCATTCGGAGGTCTTGGTGGGTGCAGGTTTATTCCACACCAGCGGGCTCAGAGGAGAGTGATCTCTAAAGGTCTGAGCCCTGAGCACAAGCAAGGGGAGTAATTTATACTATTTTGCTATGTGGCATTTCGGCATGCGCAGGAAGTAGGCGGAAGAGGAGCCCGGAGGAGTGAGAGAAAAAGACGAGAGGGCCAAGGGTTTTCTGCTGACCTGGACGGCTGTGTTGAATATTTTCCTTTTCATTTCCTTCCGTTTCACCCATTTAATCAACCTTTTAAAAACATGCAGCCCTGCAAAACCTACAGTCCACTGGCCTAGGTACTAGAGCTTCTAAGACTCCTGAGTCTATTTATATTACTTAATGATCCATCCCTTACTTGAGCAGATGGACACAGATATGTAAACACATAAATGTAAGTATGTACATGACAGTAACTGCTACCTCTTGCCAGTTTCAATGTTTCTCCACTCATACTCCATTCACATACTGCCAGAAATTGAAATTGATGTGCATTGAAATCCTAGCCCTCATTCATACTCTAGTTGTGTGTCCTTGGGCAGGTCACTTAACTTCTTGAGCCTAAACTCCTGGTCTCAGAGATGAGGGTTGTAATCCCTACTTTACAGGGCTGTTTGAAGATTAAATGGGATGATCCAGGTAAGCCTTAGGGTAACACCTGGAGCAAAGCTGGAGGAAGTGCAATGCTGGTGAGGACTATTTTATTCAAACCTCCAGAACATTTGAAATGCCCTCTCTTGTCTTGCAGACTGGAACCCAGAAGGGAAAAGTGCCTCGCTCTTGACTCAAACGTTATAATATGCTGGCTTTGGAGTCCCAGCCACCTGAAGACTTCACATGACCTTAGAGGGCCAGGACAGTACATGCAAGGGGCATCCAAGCCAGCGGGAACAGAAGAAAGGCTTCTTACAGGATGTATCTTCTAAGGGGACATCCAGGAAGTTGAGGGAAAAAAGATGAAATAGTGTCTAAGACTAAAGGGATAAGAACAGGCAAATGACCAGAGGCAAGAGAAACACAGATTCACAAACGACAGGAAGAAATTTGGCATGGGTGGAGCCTGTGTGTGTATGCACATGTGTGTGCATGTGTTGAAGGGTACTGGGTGGTGACTGGAGAAGTAGGTAAGGGTCAGGTGACCCAAGGCTAATTTAAGACATTTATTTATCCTTGTTTGCAAAGAATTGAAGGGCTTTACCTTGGTCATTCACGGATCTTGGAAAGATTATAAAGGCTGCTTTGTGAAGAAAGGTAGCAGAGGAGGATCGGGCAAGATATCACCGGTGGAGGCCTTGCTGTGCTTCCTGGGATCGTGTCTCGGAGGTGACCAGGAATGAAGCCAGCAGACAGCAGTATGAGCAACCATCAAAGCTCTTAATGAGGAGTGGAAAGGAAGGAAAAGAATCTTGCTAATCAGGAGGGGCTCCAAGTAAGGATGCTGTTAGGGCTTCAGTGTCTAGGGTTTATAAGCACAAAAACAGAGAAATTTACATGATTGGCGGGGGCTTGTTGCTAGGGCCAAGCTGGGTTCAAAAGAAAAAACTCCCTTATTTTTCAGGCTGAATTTTCCAGGTATCCAGGATGTGGCTTCTTGTTTACTGTGAAGCCTTGACCCTAGGTCCCTCTTAACTGCAATTTACCAGGGCCTTGAGCTCTGGCTCCCTGCATCCCACTAACACCTGCCTCAAAGACACTTTGACATAATCCAGGCAAACATCATGAGGCCTGATGAAGGATAGTGGCTGTGGGATGGAGGACGGAGTGCAAATTGAGAGACATTCATTCAGAGAGCAAGACTGATTTGATGACTTCTAATCCGCGGTCATTGGTCCCAACATCCATAGAGGAAATACTTTAGTCAGTTTTTATGGATTCACAGGCCATGGTTTCTTTCAGGGTGTCTTACTCCAGCTCCTCCTTAGCTTATTTTCTTGACGTCAATGCAGTGTGTTGCCACTGGGGTGAAACTCGTTTTATAAACACACCCTTAGGTGGTGTGGCTATGTTAGGGTAAGTAATACTAGTTTTGATAACAAACAACCCCCAAATTTCAGTAGCTCAACACAATCAAAATCTGGCTTTCCCCCAATAAAGTTCAGTGGGGTTGGGTGGGTGAATTTCCTTCAAGCCAAGATGACTCCCAATTCAGGTGTCTTTCAATCAGGGCTTGGGTGTCCCCAGCCACCACATGATCAAAGAGAAGGAGCTCAGAGCATTATATGTGGGAAGTTTGAGGGGACAGTTTGGAAGGGGTGTAGCTCATGGATCCCCATATTCCATGGCTCAGAACTTGTCACAAGACTTGGATTCAAAGAATCTTGGAAATACAGTCTGACTGTGTGTCCTAGAAGAGGAGGGTGGGTCTGGTGAACAGCCTGCAGATTCTGCCATGAAGGAACACATGCCGGAAGCAGAATGTTGAACCAGAGGGTAGGTTCACGTCCATTGTGTTTCCTTTCATTAATCCAGAGTGTTCTAGGTTTCTTCCTTCAGCTTAAATAACTGCAACTCTTAAGGAAAGTGAACAGAGAGCTTCAGGTGTGTGTAAGTCGGGCCTCATCCTCTGGTTGGTTTTTGTCACACCCCATGGAGAATGTGGAGAATGACAGTGGGATGCTGACATGAACAGCAGAGTGAGGCCAACAGTCTACTTTCAGCTTAACCCACGTGCATGTCACCCTAAGGCCTTGGTTTCCTTGTCTTGCCGCTTGCTGGGCTGGTCCAGGCAAAATCGCTCTGTGATTTCCAGTGGGATGAGTGGATCTTCAAAATCTCTGGGAAAAAAATCTGTACAGTATAAGGAGTAAAAGCGCAAGGGAGATAATTAGGGGCACGTGATGAAAGATAAGACCTTTACCACTTTATGAGGGGAGGAGGTTTCAAACTAAGCTTTATTGGTTATCAGTTGAACTCTGCAGCCTAAATTCATTGTTTCCTATCATTTTTCTTAACATCTGCATCAAATGCTTATGTAGAAAAGAGAAAGGTGGAGAGTGGCCAAGAGCTCTCATCTCCATCTTTACTAAGAGTGGATCAGCGAGACTGACTCCCAGAAGTGCTGGGACTCTAACATGTTACTGAAGAAACCATGGCCAGTGACTGAAACAATCTAGTCCAAACTGAGACACCCAGTCAGGTAGGCCACTGACCATTCCTGTGCTTTGACCCCTCCTCCATCTTGGCAACACCACCTGGGAGAAGATGCTGGCCTCACAGTTACAAAGAGGACTCCTTCATGGCTCAGGGTTGTGTAAAAGAGATCTGGGAGCTGCCTGCAGGTTGCATTTCCACCCAGGACCTGGGTTTTAGAAGGGCCTGTGACAAGCACGGATAAGCAAGTCACCCCCATGCAAGCGAAAGGGCACTGTGATAAAGGGTTGGCTCACCAACTACTCAAAGGAGAAAATGCTACTAAGAAAAAAAAAGCAACACAGCTTCAGCAACAGGCAGAGTGGGCATTGGCTGCTTCTCCTACACCTTCTCCTTCCTTCCCATAGAGCACTGATTGGCCTGGAAAACACCTCCTTTCCCTCTGCTATTCGCTGTGGTGCTGGGAGGGTTGATCCCATCTTTTAGCCTGAGTCCAAAGCCTATCACTCTGGCCAGGATTGGTTTGGAGATGGTCAAATAAATTGCCTGGAAGAGATGGAAGAAAGTATCTCTTTTCTCTCCTGGGGCTGCTCAGAGGCAGATGCCTAAGAAAGGAGCTCTAAGGGAGGGATGCCAGCCAAGAAAAGAGAAACTGAGTCTAAGACATCAGTTCAAGACCTGGCTCTGCCATTCCTGAGTCTTGGATACCCAGCAGATCCTGATTCACATCTTGATTGAAGATATTTTAAGGGGGTAAGAGAAGAGTCTACTGCTTGCGACAGGAAGGGCTCTGGCTACTGCAAGGGGCCGCCAGATCGCCTAAGGGATTCGAGTAGAGATAATTCTAATTACACTGATAATACCTTTTCTCTGAGCCCCTGCTACGTAGTTCACAAATACTGCTTTTTCTTTCCTACCAACTTATAAGAGAGATGCAATTATCACCATTACGTAGCTGCAATCATGGTGGTTCTCTTATGTTGAGTGACTTGTCCAAAGGTGAATTACTTGTAAGCAGTGGAGGAGGGATTCAACCCACTTCTGCTTGTATCAGCTTCTATGGGCTTGTCACTCTGTCACACTGCTGTCCTGCAGGGAGGGGCTGAATTAACATGGGGACAAAGAGGAGAACCAGGGGACACAGTTTGTTTAGATATACAAATCTTAGAAAGGATTCTCCATCATAGGCACAAGTGTCTAGGGGGAAAAAAGATTTAAAAGCAACAAACAAACAAACAGAGCCCCAGGAAAACAACAGGTGCACTGGGAGCAGTGCCCTCCTCCAGAGAAGGCCATGGAGCTAGCTCAGGTCGGTTTTGTACTTAACAAGTTCTTAGACCTTTTGGGTGCATGTAATAGACACAAACTGGCACTCGGTGTGTTACAAGGATATATAGTCTTCAAGACCCTGAGACCCTGGTGTTAGCTAATCTCAGAGTTTTGGAAGTGGGGACCGGGATCTCAAGTTTCTAACTCTTATTTTTCCATCTCTCTGCGTGTCTGTTTTAACCTTTTATTCCTCTGTAGGCAGGCTTCCTCACCCTGATCCACCATCTGTAGGCAGATCTGGCTGTCCCATGACTTCCTGGTTGACGTGGTTCACAGAGACCCAGACACCTAAGGAGACTGACTTTCTGTCTCAACTCCTGATCATTGCCACGTCCAAATTTCTCAGGTGGAGAGAGTGGCTTGCTGGAGCAAGCAGTCCACCTGGTCCTCTCAATGCTGGATCTCTTTTGGGGTGAAGTGAGCAAGCGGTACCAGGCTATGGAAGCTAGGAGCCCACCTGCGGAGGGCTCTGTGGTGCATGGCCCAGATGTCCCAGCAGGAACTGAAAACCTATCACCTCAGCTGGTCTCAGCACCCCTTGACATTGTCTCACCTGCAGTCATGTCACTTCTGTGGGAAGGGGGTCCTCCTCCTCTAGGGTGGACCTCTTTGAATGTCACTCCACTCCAGAGGTCCTTGTAAGCTGCCTTCAGTTTGTTTTGGGCTTGAATCACAGTGTAACTGCACCCTCTCTCCAGTGTCCTTCCTGTCTCTCCTGCAAGGCCACCCTTGAATACATTTCCTGCTTTCAAATTTCCGTCTGAATCTGCTTCCTAGAGAACCCAACGCACCACAGTTGGTTCTAAGAATCACCTGAGAAAGGACCCTTGGTGAGAATCTGGAGCTGGAGACGCCACTGCTTGTCTGGTGCTAAGGACTCCATCCCTGGGGTTGGTGGAGCACAGAGGCCCCCGGGGCTGAGCAACAGAACATCAGATCACCTTTCACTGCTGGTGAGCTGGATGGGTACCAGGGGAAGGGGATGCATTAGCTGGCATGGTGTACCAGTCGTTTTATGAACATGGAGCAAGAGTAAATCTAAGGACAGTGGAATGGAGTGGCTATAGCTAAGCTCAACGGATACTCCGGAAAATGGCAATGGAAAGGTAACAGTGGTTAATAGGCACAGGAGAGCTGAGTGCAAAAGTCACAGACCTCCTGATTAGCACACAAAGAGACTCTCAAGTCCTACAGCAAGAGGGCAAAGAAAGCTAAAGATTTTTACCGGAATCCTTGCGCACCAAAGAGAATAAACCCCCACTCAAGCAGGGGAGCTATGCCCAGGTCCCCTGACCTTGGCTGGGAATCATGCAGGTGGATGTGTCCCAAGACCCTGAATCTCTGGACCCCTCTGACCCTCTGGGCCACTCCCTCCTGCTGAGAGCTGGCTTTCTCCCTTTGCTTGAAGATGCTATGGCGGTCTTGCCCCTATATCGTCTACCCTCAGCATCTGTCCCCTCTTGGGCTGCTAATAACCAGCGATCGTTCCCCTCTCGGCTTGGGGCTTGCTGAGAAGAGAGGAAGGAACTGAGGACCTGCAGGGTCTGGTCAGCCTGTGTCAGCAGGACCTGGGGTAGTGCAGAAGACTGGATTTTGAAGGTGTCTGACCAAGGGGGAGGGACATAAAATCAGATAGGCCGGGGTTTATTGGTTTGAGGGTACTTTCCTGGGTTATAAGAGTTAGCGCCCTAGAAAGAACTCCAGGAGATGCTGAGGAAACACAGGTCCAAGAAGCGTGGAGCAAGCAGTGGCTCCCGTCCCTCAACTTGCGACAATTCAGAAAGTCCTCCCCCGCCCCAGAGCTCTCTGCGGGGTTACTGAAGGCCTTTGCTGCAATGGCAGACTAACTCAACGTCTCCCTTTGCCAATCCCAGTTTTTTCCTCTCTGCTTCACCTGTAATTGATGTAAGAGCAACTTCCCAGGCACCCCAATTTTTATCTCAAAGTCTTGCCAGAGGAGCCCACCGATTACAAATACCGTCTGTCTTGTGGGCCAGAAAGTCCCAAATGTGGCTGCTGCATACATGCTCCCTGGAGTCTCTATATCTACAGGGGTGGAAGAGCAAATGATTTGCCCAAAGCAAATTATTAGTGCTCCCAAGTTTCAGATCCAGATATATTTGTCTTCAAAGCTATTGTTCCTTTTGAATCCTGCTGTGGTTTCCTATTTAATACATATTTTTATAATCCATTTGTTGTCAAAGTACCTAAATTCAGAGACAGAGAAAACACCAAGCTAATAGATTTCAACTGCAGTATGTAGTTGGAAACAGTTGGAACACTGTGTCTAAGACACGGAGCTAACTGTCTGTGGTTCATTCACTCATTCTTCAATTTATTCATTTAACAAACTTTGATTAAGCCCTTACAATATGCCAGGCCCTAGGCTTTGTACTGAGATACAGCAATCAATAAAACTTATATTCTGATTTCAAAACTTATGGTCCAGCAGAACAGAATGATATATAAGCATGTAGGTGCAATAAATATTTAAAGGCAGATAAAGGATGGTTAAAGGATAAAGCATGGGAATAACCAAGCACCACTTTGTGAAGCCAGGGGCCTGCATGGCTACTGTAACGCCCAGGGTCAGTAAAATGCTGGTGTTACTAGTATAGAACTGACAGTAAAACTGATAACCCCATCTGCCCCTTGTACAACTGACCCTGGCCTGAGCTGAAACACCGTGAGCGTCCCCTGTCCCATATTACAAAAATTACAGCCAGTTGGCTTTGTGCATCCTAGCACAGGCAGGTATGGCTTACCAGCAACTCTGAGCAAAGCAGATTATGTTGGCAACATTTCCACTTTAACTTCATTATTTGGTGATATCCCATTGCAAGTAGGATGGGATGCAGGACACCCCCCGCTCCAAGTTGGTCTATGTGTTAATAAAACATGGGCGTGTGATGCATAAAGATATGGTCCATTTTCCTTCCCCTCTTCTGTCCAGCACTGGTTACCATACTGCCCAGGAATCCATAGCTGCCATCCTATTCAGTGGGCACAGCCAGAGCAATGGTAAAAAGTTCATAGAAGGAGGGCAAACAGTGGATTCAAGTTCAGCACAGCGGAGAAGAGAAAAAGATTATAGATAGAGAAGGAGAATGGAGGAGATAGTAAATAATTAAGCAACAAATGTGTACTGTTGTTTTCCATTAGAAATACAGATGACAACATGCTATTAAAAGGCTATGATAGAGGAACAGATTAATGGGGAAAGACAACAAGAGGGCTTATTATCAAGAGCTGTAAGACTAAGAAAGTGGGAAATTCTGTGAGTCAGAATAGAGGCTTTTTTCCTTGCTACATCCTGAGCATCTGGCCCAGAGCTTGACACAGTGTAGGAGCTTAATATGTGTTTTTAAATAAATAAATTAGTGACAGACTGAATGAATCACAGACACTTAGCTCATCATCTGTACACCATGTTCTGATTGTTTCCAGCTACGTGTTTAACTTTCATGATATCTTCCTGCAATTGATACTTACCACCTTGATGTTTCCTCTGCCTATAAATTCAGATATTTTGCCAACCGATCAATTGTAAAAACATGTGTTAAACAGGAAAACACAGCAGGATGCAAAAGGGAAGCACAGTGGTTGTAAAGGGAATTGTATCTGGGTCTCAGAATGGGCAGTGGCACCGAGACCGGGCAAATCATTCATCTTTCAGCTCCCTGTACTGCCTCACACCATTGATGTTAGGGCTGATGGAAAGTATGTACAGGTAGGTTTTTCACTTTATTCCAAAAAACTACAGTGGGTGGGAGTGGGATGATGTTTAAGTGTTTATGTATGCATAAAATGATGTGGTTCAAAATAGCTGAAACAAAGGACTCATCCTGCCCACGAAAGCCTGTAGAAAGTCTAGGAAAATGCAAAGCTCCTGCACCAGACCGTGTATTCCTGGAGGGCTAGAGCTATGCTTTTTTCTCTTTAGACTCCAGGTGCCTTGCAGGTAGGAAACTCTTAGTAAATATTTGCTTTTTAATGCAATGATTCATCATGTGACTCAGTTTCTCCATTTGTAAATTTGCCTATAATGCCCCTGAACTTGGGAGTTTTGTGAGGACAAGAGTCATGCAAGTCAGGGTCACATAGGGCTCTTGATATAGTATAACCACGTGTTATGGTCTGAGCTGTGCTCCCCCAAATTCATATGTTGAAAGTCTAACCCCTTGTACCTCAGAATGTGACTATATTTGGAGAAAAGGCCTTTAAAGGGAGGGAGTTAAGGTAAAATGAGGTCTTCATAGTGAGCCCTAATCCTGAATGACCAATGTCCTTATAAGAAGAGGAGACTGGGACCCACAGAGCCACCAGGCATGTGTACGGAGAGGACATGGAGAGAAGAAGGCCCTCTGTAGGCCAGGGAGAGTGGCCTCAGAGGAAACTGACCCAGCCGGCAGCTTCATCCTGGACATCTAGCCTCCAGAGCTATGAAAAATAAATCCTGCTCTTTGAGCCATCGAGTCTGTGCCCTTTTGTTACAGTGGCCCTAGGAGACTAATACCCTGTGGTTATGAGCACAGATGTGCGAAGAGCATATACCCCAGCCCCCTAAGAGCAGGCTTCTGCTTCTTATATATTTTTAATCTCTGATGTATCTGAGGATTTTTAAAGATCTTTTTTGTACCAAGCCTTTTATTTGTATAAAGGTTACTTCAGAAGTGGAATTAAGATGCCATCAAAAATGATCCGGATCATAGTATATAAACATGCACACATGGAATCTATTTTCCCTATCCTATAACCCGCTGCTCAGCCCAATGGGCTGAGTCCTACCACCTGTAACCAAGATCTGCCAGATGAGTCCTCACTCCGCAGCTCAGAAGGAATGGGCGAGGTCAGGATGCACTCACAGCAAAGCCGGAGACAGGGCAGGGCCTGCAGGGACAGAGGCCCCTTGCCGCATCGCAGAGCTTCCACGGTGCATTCGTTCAAGCTGGAGCAGGAAGCAGCTCACGGCAACACTTACATCAGCCACCGTTCCCAGGCTTCCTACCATCTTCCTCCACAAATATTTTCTTATCAGAGAAAAATAAAATGTACCTGTCAACTAGATGGAGGAAAACGTGTAGATTTTAGAGCCTAAATCAGTTCAGAGAACTCCATGCCCCAGACTCTCCAATCTGCAGAGCACTTTTGAGAATAACCATTTGAAAGCCACTTTCTTAATGTCTAGGGCCCCAGATCCCTCTATGGGAGGCTGCAGAGACCTGGGCCCTTTCTGCTGGGGGAAGCAGTGCGCACATACGGTAATCAGATACCCTGCATGGGTCCACCTTCAGAATACATACGGTAACTTGAGGTTCCTGAAAGGAGTGAGGCTGCCTGCACCCCACACTCTCAGGGGCAGGACCGAGACATGGAGCCAGGAAGCCTAGTGGTCGCTGCCCTCATGTCCTCCCTTGACAGAGAGAGTAAATTCATGGGCACCCCTGTCACAGACATTCAATGGGGGTCCAGGTTCAGAGCCAGTTGTATTTCAAAATAAATAGATTTCTTGAGGTGTAATTTGCATGCCGTAAAATTAATCCATCTCCAAGTGCAAAATTCAATGGCTTTTTGTAGCATAGGTACAGGATTGTGCAACCACCTGTGCAATCTGATCTTAGCACATTCCCAGCACCCCAAAGACACTGCCTGTCCACCAGCAGTCAGTCCCCACTCCCACCTCCACCCTAGGTAAACACCAGTTGCCTTCCTATCTCTGTCGACTTTCCTTATCTAGAAATTTCATCTACATGGAGTCATACAATATGTGGTCTTTTGCATCTGGTTTCTTTCACTTAGATGTTTTTGAGGTTTGTTCACATTGTAGGATGTTTCAGAACTTTGTTCCTTTTATTGTCAAACTGTATCCCCAGGGCTGATTGCTTAAAGTTATAGAGTGTGTGTGTGTGTGTGTGTGTGTGTGTGTGTGTGTGTGTGTGTAGAGCTATTAGGAGAGACCATGTGGGGAGGGTGGGGCTGAGTTGCTACATCACAGGCTATTTTTGAGTCCATGGCTGAGGTGACCTGTATGCAGGACCTGGGGAGAGCAAGTGGCTCTTTCTATCTCAGGGACAAGAGCGAGCCGACCAGAACACTCTGTTTTCCCCCCTTCCCAAGTGCTTGGCACATTTCCTCTGAAAACAATAGAGATTTCCAGTTGCTCAAGCTGCAGGCCTCTGGGGCCTTCTCCCCTACAGGGCTGGATTTCTTTTGTGCTTGGTCTGCTGGAATTCAAAAGCTCAATATCCTTATTCTCATCTCAGACTTGAGGTCAGCTTACCTCCCTATGCTCCATCCTCTGATGGATGGCCTGGGGTTTGAGCTGATAGGAGTCCAGTAAGGCACTGCCCCTTGAAGCGCACCTGTTCATCCAATTGTCTTCAAAGTCTGAAGGGGGTTGCATGGGAGAAAGCATGGGTGAGGGTCCAGAGGGCCAGACAACAACCCGTGTGTGTGAGCTATTGTGTGTGGACTAACAAGGTGGACTGTGGCAGGGGATGGGTCACCTAGCAGGGGCTTTGAGGTCTGGCAGAGCACCCGTCCCAATAGGTGGTTTAGGTCCCAACAAGGATTTTGGATAGAATTCATGTCAACTGAGAAGACTCATCTTGGGCTGGGGAGGAGGAAGCCACTGTTAGTGCCTTCGTCTCACTTCCCTTGCATGGACAGCAGACTGTGGGCATGGATACGCCAGCGCTCTGCTGCCCCTGGGCAGTGCTGTCTGAGTCATAGGGCATGGCTGACCCTTCTTGGGAAGACCCTCTGGGTTTCCTGCTGATCAAACTAAAGGAAGTTGTGGTCAGTTTCCTTTTGTCACTGTAAGCATGTTCCCATTTCCCTGAGTTCTGGGGTTAACTAATAAGAAAGGAGTAAATCTATGAGTCATTCCATGTCTTCTGATGTCCACAGCATTCTGAGTCCCCAGTCCTTAAATCTCCAATATCATCGAGGCAGATAATGACTCCCATATTTAAGAGGAATAACGAATTTGCCTTGCAATCATTTTTATAAGATCCTTTATGAATAGCAACAATGTCTACATTATGATTTTACATTCCACTTTAATAAGGATCAAATTGCTATGGGCATTCTGAATGAGCTGGTCTCGTCTTCCAACTGCAGTAGGTCTTCTGGCAATGGGCCTGCTCAGCTTCCTGGCTCTTTGCCAGATAAAATTAACTTTCTCCACAGTTCATCTCTTAACCCTCTTTGGGCAGCAACCCAGATGGACAGAAAGATTTACAGAATTTCTGGCTCTCAAAGGATCTTAGAATCTCAACAAAGTACAGAAATTCTGGAAAGAGCAAACTGTCCAGTCTCTGTTTGAATACAGTCAGGGAGGGTCTCCCTGTTTTATCAGCAGGCAGGTCCTGTGCTTGTGCCTCCGTAGAACTGCCCCCTCCCCCTGAGCAGAGAGGGGCACACCAAACCAAGCGGTTTCGGAGGGAGACATGTGGGTCTTGCCTGACTTCCATGGTTAGTTTTACATGTCAGCTTGACTGGACTAAGGGGGGCCCAGATAGCTCATACAATATTATTTCTGGGTGTGTTTGCATTTCTGTAAGAGATTGGCATTTGAATTGGTAGACCGAATAAAGCAGATGGTCCTCACCAGGGTGGGTGGGTATCGTCTAACCCACTGAGGACCTGAATAGAACAAAAAGGTGGAGGAAGATGAGTTTGCTCTCTGCTGGGACTGGGACATGCACCTTCTCCTGTCCTTGAACATCAGCGCTCGTGGTTCTCGGGTCTTTGGGTTTGGGTTGGAACTACACCACTGGTTTTCCTGGGCTGCCAGCTTGCAGGTAACAGATAGTGGGACTTCTCAGCCTCCATCACTGTGTGAACCAATCCCTGACGCTGAATCTCTTTATATATGTGTATATATATCTATCTTCTATTGGTTTTCTGTAGAACCCTGACTAATACACTGACTGTGTCACTTTCTTGATGCTCACTATTAATCACATTACTTAATTTCTCCGAGTTTCAGTTTAATCATTGGCAAACTGCATGTAATAATGTTGATCACATGTGGAATGGAGGCTTAACTGTGATAACAGATGGAAATGCGGGGCATGGTCCATGTGCTCAACAAGCTGTAACTGTATTTATCATGAATATTAATACACTGGAAGGTATTAATGATAGCTCACTCAAGAAAGTTCAGACAAAAACAAACCTAAATAAAATCAACATCCCGTAAACTCTCTTGCATCCAGGTTTCTGCATGTGACCCAGGGTCACAGAGAGGAAGCCTTTGGGGACACAGAGAGGAAGGGGAGGTACAGCCCTGTGCAGGGCAATCGGGTCTTTCTGGTGGCTGGTGGCCGGGTCCCCTGGGGCAGTCCTGTGGTTTCTGGCCTCTGGTCCCCCAGCACCAGAGGAGAGACCTGGAGCTGCAGTGTGTGTGTGGGGGGGGGTCTCCTGGGATCTGAGGTAAGGTTGTGCATTTCTCTTGCCTGTTGTTTCTGGACACATAGATTCTAAGTCTGATGCTCTGGTTTTTCTAGAGGTGTTAAAAGCTAAGGCTTTGATACATCTTACTGTTTAAAGTAACCTAGCTCCCAGACCAGTAATTGTTTATGGCAATTCCTCTGCTTCTCTGAATATATGAAATGCTACACAGAGCACAGAGTGAATCTGTGCCCAGACAGCCAGTGGTGGAAGAGCCCACAGGGCTCACCCATCTAAGCTCCTTGTTTTAGAGAGTGGGCTACTGAGGGCCAGCGTGGGCAGTGCCTCCCCCGGAATCTCACAGCTCATTGTGTGGAGTGGTGAGTGTTTGCCGTGTAATCGGTACCATATTTGTCATTTCATGTAATCTTTACAAGAATCCCAGGTGATACACATTATCATCCCCTTACAGGAAGGAAGTAAAGCTCAGAGAGCTTAAGAAACGAGCCTAGGAAGTCAAACATAATATGTGGTAGGGCTGGGACTTGGCATAGACCTAACTCCACAGCCCATGCCTTTAACCTACCCAGTTTGCTGCCTTTTATGGTGGGGGCTCTAATCCCTCCCTTCCTTCATCCTAACTGATCCTGCTTGATTAGGAAAGAGAACGGGCAGGCAAAGCACCAATCCCCCCCTGCGCCCAGGGCAGAACACCGTCCTGTCTGCAGAACCACACGTAGCTCCAGAGGACTGAGAGGCCGGTGCTTGGCAGAGGACGGTGGCTGAGGAGGGGGCAGGAGGAGGCGACCAGAGCATGGAGGACCTGTGTAGCATTTCAGGAACCCAGTTGTCCGATCCCTGCCTCCCAGCCAAGCCTCATATAGACCTAAGGCAGCTTGGAGACCCTAACTTCCCCCACCTTCCTCCTTCCCAGCCTCTGATTCTCTCTTGGGACTCTTCCTTTAAATCTGCCTAGTATATTGATTTTAATGGGTTTTCACCTAGGTCCTGGAAAGGAAGATGAATCTGGTAGCTCAATGTCCCACCCCTACCCCAGAATGTCGCACAGT